AGTACAGTGACCTTAGTGGACCAGCCTCACCCTCCCTCCTTCACCATCATTTGTCACCATTAGTAATTATTATCACCATTACGTCACCATTACGTCACCATTATGTCACCATTACGTCACCATTTCTCACCATTACGTCACCATTTCTCACCATTACGTCACCATTTCTCACCATTACGTCACCATCAGTATATATTTTAGACCATTATGACATCAATAGTAGTTAGTATATTTTACACCTGTATTTTCACCTTAATCACCTAATCTAAACCATTATCTCTGCGCCATTAATCATATCAAGTGGTCGCCGTAACGATGCAGTTATATAATTCCTATACCTACTGTATACTGTCTCCGGGTCCCCTTAACACCATACTGTGTCTCACCTGTTGATTAAACATTATTGTTACCTGTGAATTAATTAGGTTAGGTTAAGTGAGGTGTTAAATTATGTTAGGTTAAGTTAGTGTTTTGTTGTTATATTACGATAGGTTAAGTTAGGTTAGGTTAGTGTTATGTTGAGTTAGGTTACTTTAGCATTATCTTGTGTTAGGTTAAGATATGGTTAGGTTAGGTCAGCATTAGGGTGTTTAACCATTAAGTATAAGAAGGTAGTGTGTCTAACATTCAGGTGATCGTCTTCCTGACAGTGAGGACAACACTCACCTGGACTATGGAGACCTGTGTGTATCTGTGTGAGTGTGTGTCTGTGTGTGCGTGTGTGTGTGTGTGTGTGTATGTGCGTGTCTGTGTGTGTGTCTGTGTGCGTGTCTGTGTGCGTGTCTGTGTGTGTGGTCTGTGTGTGTGTATCAGTGTGAGGTGTGTCTGTGTGTGTGTGTGTGTGTGCATGTGTCTGTGAGTGTGTGTCTGTGTGTGTGTGTGTGTGTGTATGTGGCGTGTCTGTGTGTGTGTGTGTGTGTGTGTGTGTGTGTGTGTGTATCTGTGTGAGTGTGTGTCTGTGTGTGTGTGTGTGTGTGGCTCACCAGGATCCTCACCCACACATCCCTATATCCAGGCGTTACTACTTGACTAACACCACTACCGTCACCACTTCACCACTACCGTCACCACTTCACCACTACCGTAACCACTTCACCACTACCGTCACCACTTCATCACTACCGTCACCACTTCACCACTACCGTCACCACTTCACCACTACCGTCACCACTTCACCAGTACCGTCACCACTTCACCACTACCGTCACCACTTCACCACTACCGTCACCACTTCACCACCGTCGTTACCTGCACTAACTTCCACAGCACCACTACTGATATCCTCCCGGGTGTGGTAGGGTGAGAGGCGGCTTCTTATCTCACCGACCACAAAAGATATCACCCGAGGAACGAATAATTTTTCAATATCCTTATCTGACCTTATAAACTCTCTCTCTCTCTCTCTGTTTCTTGTTTATTTTGTGTTAATTTTTCCAAAGTCCAATTCACTGTGAGGGTAACCTGCCACCACCACCACCACCACCACCACCACCACTACCACCATCACCATCACTCACAGCCGGATTCCCACTCAGGTGTCGGGCAGTTCCCACAGTTCCTACCCACTATGAAGACCTGAACCAATCACCTCTCTTAACTTACAAAATTACCCTCAACTACTTCCTCTAACAATGTGCGTCTAGGTGGTGATTCGCGAGGGGTAATTACGCCATCACTAGCACCGAGGACCTGACAGCTGATCGAAATAATTTGGGAAGTAAACTAAACCGAACAGTGAACAAAACGATCGGTTAAGCCAGAGTCCACGAAGTAGTGGTGACGCGGCGGTTCTGAGGACCCCACTCCAGGTGCCCCTGTCTGACGCGTGGAGTGGGAGAGTGAGAGGGGGGAGAGGGGAGAGAGAGGGAGAGTGGAGGGAGAGAGGAGAGAGGGAGGAGGTGGAGGAAGTAGGAGGGAGAGAGGAGAGAGAGGGAGGTAGAGTGGGAGAGGAAGGGAGATGGAGGAGGAGGGAGAGTGGGAGAGAGGGGGAAGGAGGATGAGAGAGGGAGGGAGGATGAGAGAGGGAGGGAGGATGAGAGAGAGAGAGAGAGAGAGAGAGAGAGAGAGAGAGAGAGAGAGAGGTTCACATCATTCTCTCTCAAACACAAACATTACCTCAGTTTTAAATGAATGCGTCCCCACACCCTCAAGATGTTCACCAACTCGCTCAGTGGACACGGTGGTGATCTAGTCAACGTGTTAAAGTTTATCGAGAATCAAAATGAGTTAAGTTCAATATCAAGTGGTATAGCTGTATTGACCAGTTGTCATGGCACACCAGACGTTATCACAATATCAATATCATATCAAGGTTTACTCAGAGTCATCATGGTGGGCATGTATTAGTATCAGTATGGTGGAGTGGACACACACCTGTACACTTCACAATTACTTCATGGACCTGCGTGTAACTTTGTGGCCTTCTTCGCAGCAACGGCACATGGATACAGTGTACGCTGAGGTTGTGTTGGTCAAAGCTACAGTAGTCTGTGTAATACCTTCCCACACAGGTAAAGAGCTCTGACTTCTTTTCGTCGACCCGAAGAAGCTGTTGTCCTTATACCTTCTGTCCGAGTTGTCCACGTTGCTCCCCCCAGCTGTGTGCTCCCATACTATTCTAAATAATAAATGTCCTACACTGTGTCCACCCTACCAGGCCTTTGATGTAGTCATGTAAGGTTGAGGCAGAAGGCATCATAGTTTCCGAGACACTTCAAGGGATAAGACTTTTTCTGGAGACGTAGACCGCCATCAGGAGATACTTGCGGGTCCTCATGCTTCAAGAAACCACGACAATGTGTGAAAGGCGATACTGAGACGCGAGAACGAAGCATAATCCTTATTCAAAGACTGTGCACTAACAGGCGGCAGAGGGAACAATGGCAGGAAATTTTTCTTTAATTGATAATAAATGGAGGTTCTCGGCCAGCAGCCCCGAGTGAAGGAGGCGTCGCGTTGATGTGGTCGTGGGCAGTTTTCTGAGTCTTGGGAACTACTGTACAGCCACCACACCTGGTCAATGATGTGTTGATAGAACAGGTCCTCTCTGTCCTCGCTCAGGTCTTCCATCACATCAACCAGTTCTTTGACTTGTTGAGTAAAGGTCAACAACTGGACGCTTATGTTGACGATGATGTGTATCCTCGTTGACCTTATGGCCTGACTCACCACCCAGGAGAGTCCTGCTCCACCAACTGACCAGCGTTACACGGATAAAGTCAGACAGTTGGGTCAGATCAACACCTCTAACTATCTCCCTTCAAGGTCCACTGGTTCGTCGCGTCTTGTGGCCCTCGACCTTACCATCACACAACTCGCTGGACGCCTCTTGTTAGTGAGTGTTGACGGCGGGAGAAGGTCTTGTTAAGTTGCTCGTCGTCTGTTTGGTTGACAATATACAATAAACAATTGACTCTATCCCAAGTTAGAGAGTGAATAATGAACAGTTGATAAACTTGTTCTGGTAGTGATGTAAATGTTCCGTGATGCAGCTAACCCACTCCTAAGACTCCAATAATCTCATATCCTGGACTGTGGAATATCGTGAATAAGATCTTCAAACGTCGGTCTCTTATCAGCAACAATAAAATAATTCGACTTATCTCTCGTATCTGTGGTATATAATAAAGGACTGGCGGGCCAAGCTATTTTATCACAGTACATCACAGTATAAAGTGTTATCTTGTGAACAAAAAATAAGCCAAGAAATGTTAATAGAATCTTTTCCATCACACCAGATAAAATCATGTGTTTGTTTACATTCTAGATGCCGGGTGTTCCACGGTGTATTACTGAGTCGCGTGTGAGAGACATACATACATACATACATACATACATACATACATACATAAACAATTTAAAGTTATTCGATTTGTTGATAGTACAAAAGGTGTTGGGTTAGGTTAGGTTTGGTTTGGGTTAGGTTAGGTTCCTTTCAGTTGGAGTCTACTGTAGATCACACCTTCAGGTTCTTGGTCATGGATAGTGCAATAATTTACAGGTATATAAACACTCTTAACAATACCTGTACATAATAATCATCTTCAAGGTCCAGAGTGTGAAGCCTTCGTAAGTGTGTAGGTGAAGTAAGAGTGAAAGTGAGACAAATTTACCCAGAGTTGTTCATAAGGGCGGAGTGCACACTAGATGACCTCTCTCTCTCTCTCTCTCTCTCTCTCTACCCTTGTAATGACTGCCAACGGTCTCTCCTTCGCTTGCTTTACACACACACACACACACACACTTATCACCCGTACATGTCAGTCTGATAAGGGTATGTTTGTAGCAGTAATGGTGACAATGGTACAGTGGTGGTAGAGGTACAGTGGTGGTACAGTGGTGGTAGAGGTACAGTGGTGGTAGAGGTACAGTGGTGGTAGAGGTACAGTGGTGGTACAGTGGTGGTAGAGGTACAGTAGTGGTAGAGGTACAGTGGTGGTAGAGGTACAGTGGTGTGGTAGACTTACAGTGGTGGTACAGTGGTGGTACAGTGGTGGTAGAGGTACAGTGGTGGTAGAGGTACAGTGGTGGTACAGTGGTGGTAGAGGTACAGTGGTGGTACAGTGGTGGTACAGTGGTGGTAGAGGTACAGTGGTTGCATGGGTGTCACATCGTAATATTCCACGTGACATCCATGCAAGAGGGAGCTAGGGAGCATCAACCAACCTCTCTCTCCCTTATCAGGTCAAACTCAACACTTGTACTGAACCCACCTTACCAGTAGTTACCTCAAACACCCAATTATACCCGCACTGTGTCGTTAACACCGCTCAACCACCACTCATAACGATCCACCCCTCTACTGTATAGATTATATTAAACCGGATATATTAAACCATTATTAAACCCTTTAATAATAATTCACTTAAAATAATCTCAAGCTAGCTGGTGTGGTAACGTGGTTTGGGTGTGTGTGTGTGTGTGTGTGTGTGTGTGTGTGTGTGTGTGTGTGTGTGTGTGTGTGCGTGTACGCTTCCTGTAGAGTACACCAGTTCTAGTCTGGGGTCATCATTTTCATCAGTCTCATGTCCTTGTGTCTGTGTGAGTGACTGTCTATGGTGCTAAGTTCTCTCTCGACGATCACCATGTTCACCACTACGAGGAGGATGGTGATCACTACACTGCTGCTACTGGGTGTTATTGGTGAGTGTTCTTATGTGGTAGTGGTGGAGTAGTGTGTGGTAGTGGTGGAGTGGTGTGTGGTAGTGGTGAAGTGACTAACTAGGAACTGGGGGCCACGGGAGAACCACTGGCTATGCTTTAATGGCCATACAGAAGGTAATAAACCCCCCAATACACTAATCACATTAATGAGTGCCAACGTCTCTTTAAGGTCACCTGCCTGTGTTCTGTGCGGAGGACTTGACCAACTCTACCGGGGACTACAACGAGGAGGGGGAGGACGAGGACGAGTGTTCTCCCAAGGTCGCCGACAGGTGCTTCAATGACGTCCAGGAGAACCTTCTCTGTTACGTCGACACTCCCGTCAACCGTAACTGTACTTATAGGGATCCTCGCGACTTTTGTGAGTGAGTATCTGTGTTGAGGGGAACAACTGTTTACCTCATGTTCGAAAGGCACACACACACACACACACACACACACACACACACACACACACACACACACAGTTCCAATAATAATACAGGGCCATAAACTACAGGCGTCTCAGAGACTAGCACCAATTCTTTTCCCAGGAGGTTGGACGGCTCCTCGAACTAAACTCCGGGTGGGGTCGTGTAACCAGTGGGGTTCCCCAGGGGTCATAATCTACATAAACGATCTAGATACTGGGATCAGCAGTGACATAAGCAAGTTTGCGGATGACACCAAAATAGGGCGGCAGATTAATTCAGGGCAGGATGCAAATGCATTACAGGAGGATCTAAATAAACTGCAGGGGTGGTCTGAAAAATGGCAAATGAAATTCAACACCAGCAAGTGCAGCGTACTTAATATTGGAAGAACAAATACTTATAATGTATACAGCCTTAACAACATCAACCTAGAGAAGTCGACTTGTGAAAGAGACCTAGGGGTACTAGTAAGCCCGGACCTACGGCCTAGAAAACAGTGCATTAATGTTCGAAATAAGGCAAACAGTGTATTGGGTTTTATATCTAGAAGTGTAAGTAACAAGGGTGCAGAGGTCATATTGCAACTATATCTTGAGCTAGTCAGGCCGCACCTCGATTATGCGGTTCAGTTCTGGTGCCCTTATTATAAAATGGATATCAATTCACTAGAGTCGGTGCAGCGAAGAATGACGAAAATGATTCCTGGACTTAGAAACCTTCCATATCAGGATAGATTAAAGAAACTAAACTTGCATTCCCTAGAAAGACGAAGAGTGCGGGGAGATATGATAGAAGTATTTAAGTGGGTGAAAGGAATCAATAAAGGGGATATAGATAAAGTTCTTATAATATCCGAGCAGGATAGGACTCGGAGCAACGGATTTAAGTTGGATAAGTTTAGGTTTAGGAGGGAGATAGGAAGGAACTGGTTCACAAATAGGGTGGTGGACGAGTGGAACAAGCTTAGCAACTTTGTACTAAGTGCTGGAACGCTGGAAAGTTTCAAAAGGAGTGGTAGTAACCCTCGACATGAGCTGCCATGCACAGGCCAACCGGCCTATTGCAGACTCCTTATTTTCTTATGTTCTTATGTTCTAATAATAAATAGATAAATAAATATAAAAATAAATAAATAAATAAATATAAACATAAATAAATAAATATAAAAATAAATAAATAAATAAAATAAACGTTTTTTCCTCGACAAGATAGAAATTATAAGTCCAATAGTCTCTAGTTGTGGTGTTTTGTCTCTCTCAGGGGGATGGAAGACGCGCTAAACTGCACGGCGGACATCATAGACACTGGGTGCTCAGTGAAGGAAGGCAGAGACACGTTCGACATCTGGCTCAAGGGGCTGAGGGCCGTCCACCGTAACTTCTGCGACACTGACGACCTCACCATTATCACCGGTGCGTGAGGTGGTGGTGGTTGGGTAGTGGTGGTAGACTGGTAGTGTGGTGGTGTAGAGTGGTGGTGTAGAGTGGTAGTGTGGTGGTGTAGACTGGTAGTGTGGTGGTGGTAGACTGGTAGTGTGGTGGTGTAGATTGGTGGTGTGGTGGTGTAGAGTGGTAGTGTGGTGGTGGTAGACTGGTAGTGTGGTGGTGGTAGACTGGTAGTGTGGTGGTGTAGACTGGTAGTGTGGTGCTGTAGACTGGTAGTGTGGTGCTGTAGACTGGTAGTGTGGTGGTGTAGAGTGGTAGTGTGGTGGTGTAGAGTGGTAGTGTGGTGGTGTAGAGTGGTAGGCTAATTTAAATTTTACCAGACAACGGCCAGTTCCTTTTGACAGACCAAGATTATAATTGTGATTCACCTCAATCTCCCAAATGATTCACCTAACACCTCCCTTACTGTACGTGTTCCAGACCTGCTCGAGAGTTCCAACTGCTGGAAGTTCAAGAAGTTCATCAGGTGTGTGGAGGACGAGGTCAACGTGACACACGTCAGCGACCTCCTCACCACCAAGCTTGACAGATTCGAGTGCAAGTAAGTTCACCTGGGTCAGTCAAACAGTCAATTCACCTGGACCAGTCAGACAGTCAGGTCACCTGGACCAGTCAGACAGTCAGTTACCTGGGTCAGTCAGACAGTCAGTTATCTGGGTCAGTCAAACAGTCAGTTCACCTGGACCAGTCAGACAGTCAGTTACCTGGGTTAGTCACTCAAGTCAGTCAGTCTCCAGGAGTTAGTCACCTGGCCTAAAGTTTATGGAAGTGACTGATGAATGATGTTATACGAGAGAGAGAGAGAGAGAGAGAGAGAGAGAGAGAGAGAGAGAGAGAGAGAGAGAGACTCTAACACTTACTTCGTCAACACCAGCTGGATCCAGTTGTCCGTGGGAGCCTGTAACGCCAATGCAGAGAAGAACAACATGAGGTGTCGCGGGAGGGCGGAGGCGGTGCAGGAGGCCATCGCTGTCTTCTTCGCTGCCACCTCCTGCGGCCACGAACTCTGTGCCAACTTTTCCCCACTGCAGGTGAGACACAGAAACCCAGGTGAGATAGATTGATGGTTTAGACTACCAAACTGTCACTTTCTATACCTTTCTGTCACTTTCTCTCACTCTGTCACTTTCTATACCTTACTGTCACTTTCTCTCACTGTCACTTTCTATACCTTTCTGTCACTTTCTCTCACTATCACTTTCTATACCTTTCTGTCACTTTCTCTCACTCTGTCACTTTCTGCAGTTCCCTCTCACTTGCCTACCTGTCTCTCCCTGCGCTTACCTTACACCCTCTACCGATTCATTTCCTCCTATATTATTAATGTGTTTATTTTCTATGACCCAACTCAAGCAAAAGTCAAGACTGTATGTAGGCTTGTATATTATCCGTCTACCTGTCCATCTACGTATATAAGCAAGATTTTATCGCGTTACAGGATGACCAACAGAAAGTTACAGGCGGCAACGGTAGCCAACAGACGGGAGGCAACAGTAACACCAGTGGCGGGTCATCGGTAGGCTCGGCAGTGGTGTCAACGCTGGTGGTGATAGTGGTGGTGATGAGTTTGGTGATGCTTATTCTGGTGAAGCATCGTGTCCTCACCTTCAAACGCCTGCCTCGGCTCTGTCCTTCCTCCTCCTCTAACATTATCGGTTCATCCTCTACTTCCTCCTGCAATGATCAGAATGATGAGTATGATAGATTTGAATAGTAGTAGTAGTAGTAGTAGCGAGTATGTAGTCGTAGAGGTAGTGTTGGTAGTAGTAGTAGTAGTAGTTAGTAAGTGATAGTAGTAGAAAGTAGCAAGTAAGTAGTCGTAGAAGTGGTAAGTAATAATAATGTTGGTAGCAGTAATAGTAGTAGTGTAACTATGACCACCACTACGACAAGGTTCCAATAATGTAGTTACAAGACTCTGCTTCTAAAAGAGACTTCAACAACATTAACTAAACTCCCCCTTTATGTATGAAGAAATACGAACACACGTGTACAGTAATTGCTTCCATGAAGCTATCAAGACAAACAGATCAACATGGCGTCTAATTTACAGAGACTCGACTGTATAGCCTTTAACATTATCTTTCCCCTAATTAGAACGCAAATACAATACCAGTTTCTTATTTAAGTTCCATAGTCTTAAGAGTTTCGTGTGGAGATGAGAAAACGGATCCCATTACTGCAGCCTTCAGGTAAAATACACAAAAATAATATGGTATCAAAATTAAATTGAAACTTTAACTAGATACGTTCTTTTAGGGTACAAAATAATACTAAAAGTCAATACATTAAAGAGAAACGTTCACTTTAGCATCAGTTAAGGACGAAACTATCATTTAACAAACAAACACAAAATTCCCTTAGCAATAATTTAGGAACACACAAATCAAGGTTTCAGATGAGTACCTTAATCCGTGCTGCTGGGTCACTGAGTTTGATCTGACGAGAAAGAAATAAAACTCTACCAAAGGTTTATTTATAAGTTATGAACGTATCTGTGTTGGATGTTAAGCTGTGAGAACATCTTGTGGGAGTGTTATGTGCCTGTGAATATTCTGATCCATGTGAAGAAACAAAAGCAGATAAGTGAGTGAATTTCTGACAAGCAAGTAAACAAAATAATGAACTCACAATTAAGATAAAAAACCAAAATAGTGAATGAAACTAATACAAACAGTGTCAAAGAGATAAACAGAGATAAACAGTGTATATAAAGCAATAAATTGATAGAAATAACAAAAGTGAATGATAATCTGACATCTAATTAGAAACTCCAATAAATATAAAGCTTGAATAGATAAACAGATTGATAACTGGATATCGTGGAACCTTCATCTGTCACTTGTCGTTTATGTAAAATTCCTGTCAGAGTTGATGCAGATTCCAGCTACTTATTACATGTGTGTGGTTAATGTTTGGTGAGTGTGAGAAGCATCAAGTGTGGCCTCTCGCTGTCACCTCTCACTGGCTTCGTCTCTATGCTAGTTTGTCTTACGAAAGTTTCATTTGCATTATGATTGACATAATTATGAGCTCAAACTGTTAAAGATTTACTACTGTGGTTCTAGGTTAGTTTTATTTAATGATATAAACTCAAGTGATAATATAATTTAGCTTATAACCTTTGTGCATTATATACAGTATATAAGGTACAGTCCCCTTCACTGGTGCGTTTACAGAGGCTCGGCATATAAACAGTACACAAATCATTATCTTTGAGATATTTGTTTTAATATTATTGTAATTTGATTCCATACTATTACGGTTTCCTTCCGTCGAATGTAAACAAACACAGCGGCGCTGCCACTGCATAAAACCTGACGACCCCCCCCCTGTAAACGCACTAGTGAAGGAGACTGTACATGTGTATAAAGTACTATTATTAGACAATATAAATATAAAACTATATAATATCTCTACCGTATATATATAACGTTTTCTTTAGTATTATTGTTTATGTTACGCTCACAGGATATCTTCACCATTTGTTTACTTTGTTAAACTGTCAATAAAGACGAAGACATTTTCTTTGGAGTAAATATTTTCCTCCGTGTATCACCTTCCCTGATACAGTCGCCAGTGTATTACTAAGGTACTTGGTCACTAACTCACTATTGTGTCCAAATTTCAGCTTTATTGGTCAAAAGTGCCTGAGATATTGTCCGGACAACCATGCAAGAGAAGCAAAATAAATAAACAGAGTAAAGCACTGAGTAATTCGCCTTCGCGTGACATTTGGAAAGGGAATATACAGTAGTAGTAGGTGGAGGGAGGTGTACAAGATGACACAAGTTAGGTAACAACACACATTTGGGGATTAAACAAGACGAGAACTACTGACAGTGATTACAGCTGATAAAAGCCAGCTGCCTCAACAGTGGCGTCGATGATCTGCTAAAGAAATCATGAATATGTAAACAGTGTCAAGGAGAGCTGGTGGATCAAGGTCACTACACATCACCACCACGATAACGTCACCCTTTATCACACTACCGTTAATGTCGCACACACTTAGCCGCACTACTAACACACCTGATTATGTTACGATTAATGTACCAGGTGAATGAAGATCTGAATGGCTTTAAAACCCGAGTGTGTTTTGGCTTCACCACCATCACCTACGGGATAACAACAACAATGTGTGAAAGATTGAAAATCAGGAACCAGATTTAAGTTGGGGTTATGAGGCAGCTGGTGTGTGTCTGGGGAGTCATTCAGTGGGTGACGCAGCACACACACACAAGTGATGCTGCACCAACACATCTTAATCACATCCGTTACCAACACCATCATCACACACCATAACACAAGGATAACCGAGATTTGGTCCACAAGCTGCACTGCTGAGGAGGCCGTGGTTAAATTAGGCTGTGGTTAAAGTAGGCTGTGGTCAAAGCGGGCTGGGTTTGCGACAGCGGAGAGCAAGAAGAGACATTCATAGTGATGGATAACGCACCTACCAAGTCAGCTCCCCGGCTCACACCTGTTGCTGTCAGGTTTGTCAAGGTCTTCACCCATCGTTCACTCACGAGTCAACATATTTGGCTGCGTAGTAGATCTTGTGGCCGCCATGCACTCCTGACTGATTTACTGGTTGTCCTTCTCAGAGGGACAAAATCCTCATTCTTTAACTGCTGCCGGTGGGACGGAGGGGGGGAGGTGGCTCATGCGTCGCTACCCTGGTCTTCTGTCCACCAACTACCTCTACACAGCCTATTAAAGACCAATTCAATGGTCGGCCATGTTATGTATGTTACTTGTATAGTATTTGTAAACCAAGAGACCCATTCCCCAATTATGTAGCTGTATATTTTCAGCCTTCCGGCTGCCATGTTCTTTCAATAAACCGTTAATAATAATAATTATTATTATTATTACACACACACACACACCTTGGCCGGAGGAAACTGGCAAAGTCAGTTTATTTATGAAGGAATGTGAACGAAGGTTTTCACACGCGGTCATAACAATAAAATTGAAAGAGACAAGTCCAGCAACGTGTGTGTGTGTGTATAACAGTTCTCCAAGGGCAGTGTCACCCCGCCGCCGCACCAGACACACTTCCTGTACATAACACTGGAACGTTCACCTCTGGGTACTGAATGATGTCTACCCAAGAAGGACCCAAGCACCCATGACCCACCCACCACGAGGCCCATGACCCACCCACCACGAGGCCCAAGACCCACCCTCGGACATCAGGACCCAACAAACAAACAAACAACAACAAAGGCACTGAACTCATCGTCATACCGCTATAACTGTAACGTGAAGTCCAAGGAAGCCCAGTTGTCTACCTCTCACCCTCACCTCTCAACCTTTCTCTACCTCCTCCCTCCCTGCCCCACCACCCTCAACTATCTAATAAGAGTGAAGATATCCAGAACAACTCTCTCTGTCCGCCCCTGAAGGGAGAGAGAGAGAGAGAGAGAGAGAGAGAGAGAGAGAGAGAGAGAGAGAGAGAGTAATAATCTTGCCACAGTAAACACGGATAAATTGAATCATTATTGTCTTAGTTTGTTAACAGTTAGATCAGTAGCGTTGTATGTTATAAGAACCAGCCACTGCGTAGTTGATGCAGTAGTGCCTGACGCAAGAAGTGCCAACCTAACCTAATCCCTTGATGAGAAAATTTGTATTAACTGAAGATTCGACATCCCAGCTTATTTTACAAGAAGATTATCCAACCTAACCTAACCAACTTAACCTAACCTAAAGCAGTCTATGATCATGTTGAAACAATTACCGTATCTACGAATTTTCTATGTATGTATGTATGTATGTATGTATGTATGTATGTATGTATGTATGTATGTATGCATGTATGTACAGTATGGATGCATGTATGTACAGTATGCATGTACAGTATGTATGTATTTATGTATGTATATATGTATGTACAGTATGTATGTATGTACGTATGTATGTACAATATGTAAATATATGTGTATGTATGTATATATGTATGCAGAGATCTTGAACACGCTGAGGGTCCGTCAGGGGAACATGTTCGGGCGACAACTTAAGTGTCCTTCTGCGCCAACGAGCTGCTCCTCCACCAACACACGAGGCGAGTCTCACACACACACGGGTTACTGCTGTAATAGGGAAGGGGTAGGAGGGGTGGGATAGGGAGGAGGGGTAGAGAGAGGAATGGGTGAGGGGAAGATTGCAAACTGATGCCAAGGTCACCTTCCTCCTCCTCCCGTCCTGCCCAGCTGCCTCTACTGCTAATAAACCACCTGCTGTGTGTGTGTGTGTGTGTGTGTGTGTGCACCACTTCAGAGCCACCCAGACAACGATTGGGAACGAGTGCGAATCTCACAACCTAACCAAGATGCTTTTAATTGCTGTCCAGACACAAGACACAGAGACTAGTAAAGCAGTAACCAGTCTGATAAACCGATTCGACTTAAAGTAAATGTAAATAATGTGACGCTACAACTAACTAAGCTTCGTCGCGATGAATGTAAGGGGAGGGGAGGGTGGGGGCAGTTGGGGAGGGTAATGTGGGGGTAGAGGAGAGGATACAGTGAGTGAGGGAGTATGTATTGAAGCAAGGACACAAGGGGGTAGTGTGGCGCCTCACTGAATGGCAGAAGACCTTGGCTCATAATAGTGGAGGGAGGGAGGGAGGGAGGGAGGGAGGGAGAATACACAGCCAATATAATAAACGAAAACCAGTGACAAATCATTTTTAACACCATGAGAGACATTATTGAAGCGAGTCTTGTGTAGCCTCGTGTTTACCGCCAACTTTCCTCGGTGATTTGTGTTATTCAGATTGAGAGTCTGTCAGTGTGTGTGTTGGTTAAGAAAGGCGTGAATAATGTGCCCTGACTCCCCTGGTATGCTGATGAACACCAAACAGCGTCAGGGTGAAATACAATAATGAGGATTTGTTGAAAATATATTATTTTATTTGTCACCGGTCACTGACACCAGCAGAGAGACCCTGACATCACCAAACACACACCCTGAGGCCATGACTATGTCCATGTTGACAGAATGATGGTGCGTTCACGCCGAGGAGAACTAAGCATTACAGAGCGTCTTGGTTCACAGTAAGGGAGATGGATATATGAGTGACTTTCTGTGAGGCTAAATGTTTCCTGCAAGAGGTGAACGGCCCATTAACCATGATGCCTAAAGTACCAGGAGGTTCTTTCAATACAAGTGTGATAGAGCTGCCAGGGGGAAAGGCCTTTGTGGATTTCGACCCGTGTTGGAGTTAAGAAACATAAAAGGTGACACCCAAGAAATGCTACCAACACACACAGCGACATAAGGGATTACTGGTATAAATACTTTATCCTTCTGCTATTATGTCCTCCATTACCTAAAAATGTGGGCGGGGCTTAATGACGTCACGTGGGCAATAAATGTCCAGGGGTTCTTGAGGCGTCGAGGGGCCGGAGCTTCAGATGCCGGAGGCGGGAACTGTGATGTGTGTCAGCGTGATCCCGCAACCTGTCGACGCCCTCTGCTGTCTACCGCTGCTTTAAATCAACCATTGGTAATATTCTACTGTTATATATCCATTACACACTGGAGGGATATACTGGTAACTATCACACATGGACAGACAGACACACAGGAAGACGTGGAGTAACAATTTTCGCCTGATTTCAATGTCTTGTCTAATTCATGGTACCTACCGTCTCTACAGCGCCAAGGTGATGGGGCGTTGTGGCCAGTGGCTGGGGGTGGTGTGGGTGTGGGCAGGCGTGGGCGTACTGGTGATGGGCGGTGTGCAGGTGTACCGCAAGATGGGCAGTGGGCGGTGTGGGGAGACTTACTACGCTCTCATCACAGCCACGCCCATCCTCTGCGCCATCATCTGCCACAATAGTAAGTTAACAACTGTGGAAATAATCTGGTTAATGCCGTAATAATAACGTTTATAGTAGTATTATATATCAGTGATGTAAATAGTAAGTGTTGATGATAACAGTAGTGGCGGTGGCGGCAGAATTACCACCACAGCCTCACAAGCTTCTCCTCCAGACAATGACTGTAAGGGGTTCCAGACGGGGATGGAGGTGAAAGGTCAACTTGGGGTCACCTGTGAACTCCTCCAGACGCTCTCCGTACCTGACCTCAACCAAGACTTCGCCTGTTACACTGCAGGTTAGTCCGGGATGTTGCAGTGACCTAAGCAAGCTTAACCTGACCTAGCACGGTAACCTATTTAGCCTAAGTCCTTCCCTTTTCTTCCTAGTGGGGGTTAGGCTAGGGTGTTTAATCATCAGGTGAAATAAGCTGAGATGAGCCTAATCTTCAGGTGATTCCCCTACATTTTAAGTTTTCGAGTATCACTGAAGGATTGCTAAGGTGACACAGCCCGTAAGAGACAGCTATTGTTCTAGTGTCTGACGGCGGCACGTCATCGTCGGAAGTCACCACCACACCCACCACAAGTTCCTACTCTTCTCCCGACCCCAGCTCATCCCAAGTCCCGACTACCACCACACCCGAAGGCACGACTACCATTACCACCACCACGACGACAACTACACCTGCTCCAGTCTACTCAGGTGAAGGATGCGCACGTTATATACAGCACAATCATTAATATCGGTATTTTGATGTTTATAAAGCATTTTTTGGTATTTATTCACCTTGGTATTTATTAAGCATTTTAGTATATATGTATGTATGTCATGTAGATCCACAAAGGAAATGTGGATAAAATAAATCTTGATAAAATCACAGTGGCCCAAGGCTAAAAATGCTTTGAAAGCATTTGAGGTAGATGTAGGATAGATGATTAGTGGGTCCCATATTTTTGACCTGAGTTGACATGACTAGTTACGTCGCCCTTTCTTATAAGCTCCTCGTGTGTTTGCGGTGGTGGTGATGGTGTGTGGATTAGTGAATGTCATGTTTTTGACCTGACCTCATGTTTAGTAAGGTCACCCTGTGTACATAAGCCTCTCTCAGTCCTTGTAATTCAGTTGCCTCTGAAGATGTCTTGAGTAAAGACGAAAGCTAAGGTGCTCCAAGATGTAAGTTGTAGCGAGTAGGATGGTGGATGTCATGTGTGAGCATCAAACGTGGACTTCTCGAACGTGAATGATTCCGGGACTTAGAAACCTTCCATATCAAGATAGATTAAAGAAACTAAACATGCATTCCCAAGAAAGACGAAGAGTGCGGGGAGATATGATAGAAGTATTTAAGTGGGTGAAAGGAATCAGTAAAGGAGATATAGATAAGTTCTTATAATATCCGGGCAGGAGAGGACTCGTAGCAACGGATTTAAGGTGGATAAGTTTAGGTTTAGGAGGGAGATAGGAAGGAACTGGTTCACAAATAGGGTGGTGGACGAGTGGAACAAGCTTAGTAACTTTGTAATAAGTGCTGGAACTCTGGAAAGTTTTAAAAAGAGGCTAGATAGATTCATGGATGATAGAGAGTGGTAGTAACTCTCGACAGGAGCTGCCATGCACAGGTCAACCGGCCTATTGCAGACTCCTTATTTTCTAATGTTCTTATGTTGGCTACTGCCGTACCTAACAATATAACGCTAACAGGGGTCGTATATGTCACTATTATTGTATTTGTCATTAATGTTTTGTATTAATGTCATCCCCACAACACTGTACCGTATACTGTATTAATGTCATCCCCACAACACTGTACGGTATACTGTATTAATGTCATCCCCACAACACTGTACCGTATACTGTATTAATGTCATCCCCACAACACTGTACCGTATACTGTATTAATGTCATCCCCACAACACTGTACCGTATACTGTATTAATGTCATCATCACTGTACCGTATACTGTATTAATGTCATCCCCACAACACTGTACCGTATACTGTATTAATGTCATCCCCACAACACTGTACCGTATACTGTTACATCACAACACTGTACCGTATACTGTATTAATGTCATCCCCACAACACTGTACCGTACTGTATTAATGTCATCCCCACAACACTGTACAGTATACTGTATTAATGTCATCCCCACAACACTGTACCGTATACTGTATTAATGTCATCCCCACAACACTGTACCGTATACTGTATTAATGTCATCCCCACAACACTGTACCGTATACTGTATTAATGTCATCCCCACAACACTGTACCGTATACTGTATTAATGTCATCCCCACAACACTGTACCGTATACTGTATTAATGTCATCCCCACAACACTGTACCGTATACTGTATTAATGTTATTGATTACGGGGAAACTGGATCATCAACTGTATTGCTGTATTTTGATTTATTTAACCATTGTGTCTCTGATTATAAATTGTCCAATGATATTATAATTGACTTTGGTTAATATTCTCACCCAGACAAACAATAATAATCCAAATTATAATGAGATGAAATATTGTGGGTGTATCAACGAACGGCATTATGAGAGGAATATTACCCATACACACACATTAAAGCTATCATCATATTCTTGGTTCACCAATTAATATTGTTACACTAAGAACTTATGAGATAAACCCAGTGAGGTGAAGGTTTAGGTATTTATTTTCTTTATACATTATAGGACGAGGCTTGAGTTTTAAACCAATAATCTAACAGGGGCGGGTCCAAGAAGTTGTGGGTGGGGGAGTATGGCAAGCACAGCGAGCCCATCCGGCATTTTGAGGCCGTTTTGAAGCTATGAGCACTTGATATTAGGTGATTTTCTGAGGTCAATAGTAATTACTTATAACATATGCATAACGGCCCGACAGGAAGAGTGTGGGCGTCACTCGGTGTGTTTTTGTTCAGGGATTCTCCTTTATTTAGTTACCCTTTAGAGGTTTATGTTACCTGTGACGGTATATAAGCTGCGGTACACTCATGACCTACCGAGCACCGGGGGTCATACAAGTGTTCGACCATCCGAGAGTTTGTTTACAGTACAGGATATAACTTGTCAATTTTTTCCATGACACTAATTTCACACCGCAGAATGGAAGGCACATTTCACGAGCATTATCACCAGCAAATTAAGTTAATAAAAGTTAAATTTATGTTAAGTGACTGATGAGGCGAGGGGCGGTGCTGAACTCAGGTGAAGGGTGTTAATGAGACAAACAGTTTGACGCATCACTACTGACGGAGGCTCATCAACCACCACTACTGACGAAGGCTCATCAACCACCACTACTGACGGAGGCTCATCAACCACCACTACTGACGGAGGCTCATCAACCACCACTACTGACGGAGGCTCATCAACCACCACTACTGACGAAGGCTCATCAACCACCACTACTGACGGAGGCTCATCAACCACCACTACTGACGAAGGCTCATCAACCACCACTACTGACGAAGGCTCATCAACCACCACTACTGACGGAGACTCATCAACCACCACTACTGACGAAGGCTCATCAACCACCACTACTGACGAAGGCTCATCAACCACCACTACTGACGAAGGCTCATCAACCACCACTACTGACGAAGGCTCATCAACCACCACTACTGACGAAGGCTCATCAACCACCACTACTGACGGAGGCTCATCAACCACCACTACTGACGAAGGCTCATCAACCACCACTACTGACGGAGACTCATCAACCACCACTACTGACGGAGACTCATCAACCACCACTACTGACGAAGGCTCACCACAATGTCTCTCCACAATGATATCACTATTATTCTATCCGCTACATCACTAGAATGTGTTTGTATAATAAATAATACAATCAACTTTACTTACCGATGGTATTTTTATCTAAACTTCACACACACACACACACCATGAATAAAATATGCTCCTGTTATTCTTAAGCATTAAACGAACACACACTGCACACCAACCAAGAACAGCTCATGGTAAACTATTAACTGTTCATCTACGAACTTCAAGTAGCACTGTAGACCAACACACTATAACTGTCAAGAGTCTTTCAAGTATATTGTATCATCATGTCAAGTATTACACATGTTAAACCTATGAAAGACATTATATATCTATGTACACGTGAACAAAAGTTGATCTATACTGACACTTATAGTCACCCATAATATTCCTTGTGTGGGAGGAGCTTGTGACGTCATTAAGGCAATAAATATCAGGGAGGGATGAGGCGGGGCTTCAGATTATTACTGCAGGTCATAAGAGTCACAGCGGCCAGTGTCGTCCACTCTCATCACATTTTATAGGTATATATTCACTTTATACAGAGAATAATACAAAAGCAAATATTAATTTTACTACAGACAAATTAATGGCGCGGCGCAAATATTGATAATCGCCGACTAATCTTTAAACACCAACAAACGTTTTTGCCAAATAGCGATAATTCGTTTACGGTAAAGTTTGAGGTGTCATTTAAGAGATATTTTACTCCCCTAAGATATATATCACCCTTAAAGTAGGTCAAGTTAGGTTATGTATGGAGCTATTCATGTATATGTATTATGATCGTCTAAATAAAAGATATACATACAAGTTACTGTCATGTATATATTAAGTGTTCCGTTGATACACTTCCCTCTACAGCAAGGAGGTGATGGGGCGTTGTGGCCAGTGGCTAGGGGTGGTGTGGGTGTGGGCAGGCGTGGGCGTACTGGTGATGGGCGGTGTGCAGGTGTACCACAAGATGGGCAGTGGGCGGTGTGGGGAGACTTACTACGCCCTCATCACAGCCACGCCCATCCTCTGCGCCATCATCTGCCACAATAGTAAATTAACAACTGTGGAAATAATCTGGTTAATGCCGTAATAATAACGTTTATAGTAGTATTATATATCAGTGATGTAAATAGTAAGTGTTGATGATAACAGTAGTGGCGGTGGCGGCAGAATTACCACCACAGCCTCACAAGCTTCTCCTCCTCCAGACAATGACTGTAAGGGGTTCCAGACGGGGATGGAGGTGAAAGGTCAACTTGGGGTCACCTGTGAACTCCTCCAGACGCTCTCCGTACCTGACCTCAACCAAGACTTCGCCTGTTACACTGCAGGTCAGTCCGGGGTGTTGCAGTGACCTAACGTGACTTAATACTGCTTGAGAGGCTGTCTGGACCAGTCCGGTGGGTACATTTATGTAACCTAACCTAAACATTACCGGTATGTATTTTTAACTCGCATAAGAAAAGTGTTGTAAATGTACTGACGATAGTAGGACCACTTGGGAGGATATAAATATCACTAGTTGTCGCCCACATCCTTAAAAGTGTCCAGAGCTGCGCGCAGTGTGTGTCCAATAACCTATATCATTATAAGCCTATCTTAACCTGAACAAAACTCACCTCTTCTCTACACAATAACAGCTGTGCTCGCCACCCTGGTAAACGCGTCCACATCATGGAGAGGGACCACTAACACCACGGCACCGAGCGAGTCACACACCAACACTTCTAGTCTACCACCAACCGTAAGACACATTGTAAATTGTTTGTTTTACAGTGTACGTCGCCACACCCGAAGCCACGGCCACTCCCGAAACCACGGCCACACCCGAAGCCATGGCCACACCCGCAACCACGGCCACACCTGAAGCCACGGCTGCACCCGAAACCACGGCCGCACCCGAGACCACGGCCACACCCGAAGCCACGGCCACCCGAAACCACGGCCACACCCGAAGCCACCACACCCGGGCCACACCTGAAGCCACGGCTGCACCCGAAACCACGGCCGCACCCGAGACCACGGCCACACCCGAAGCCACGGCTGCACCCGAAACCACGGCCGCTGAAGCCACCTGCACGAAACCACGGCTGCACAGACCACGGCCACACCCGAAACCACGGCCACATGAACCACGGCTGCACCTGAAACCACGGCCGCATCTGAGACCACGGCCACACCCGAAACCACGGCCACACCCGAAGCCACGGCTGCACCCGAAGCCACGACCATCGCCCAGAGTAACCAAGGTGGGGACACAAACTATGGATCAATATATTTATACATTTATTAATGACACACACACACACACACACACACACACACACGATTCATATCCTCTAAGTTTATGCGTCTTAACATTAACGTAACATTTTCAGAAATTAGTTTGACTTCACATTAACCTAACCTGGTGAGTGTGGTGAGGAGGAGATTTTTGGTATGTATGTGATGACGTAAATGATTAAGATGGTTAGAGTGACAATCTCTTCTTCAATAGCCATACTGTGTAAGCCCCTGGGGTACTGCGCGGTGAAGAGGATCACAATGAACGCTCTCGGTATCGTGACCAGCATAGAGCACCGGGAGTATGATAACGCCCTCACCTCCAACACCATCATCAACAGCAACAAGTTACAGAAGGAGGAGACCTGCCCACAGAACGCCATCGTCGTCGGCTTCGTCTGGAGTTCAAGTAAGTCATGACTTGTCTCACCTTAGCTTATACAGTTTACGAAGAGGAATTTGTCATTAGACATATATAAACGAAGGGAAGGAACAGTCACTCAATCAATTATCTGTACTTGGGGTGATCGATGAATGCCAGAATGAACACTCGGCGTCCTGTTGTCTCGGTAGGGTCGTCAAAATCCTTCTTCCGTTGTGTCACATTTTTCATAATAATTTTGTATAGTTTTTTGAGTGACTGTACATCCCTCCTATCCCACCCTGTCTCTGATATATACAGTATACGTGACCACAGCACAGCACAAGGGGAAGATGCATACGTCCTGTCTTAACTTGTATGTCATTTGTGAATGTTGACTCGTCAGTGTTGAAGGCTTGAGAAGTGAGTGAAGCAGCTCTGAATATTATTATTTTCCCTCCCTGGACAGACTCGTGGCAACAGAGTGTGTGTGCCGAGGTAGTGCAGGGACGACCTCTGCCCCTCACAAACTGTCGTAGCGAGAAGGTTGACAGCTCACTGCGCCTCGACTGTGACTCAAACTCCTTGGCTACCAGCATCACGCTGGAAAGTGGAGGCGGCAAATTCTATCGTAATTACGTCGTTTGTTGCTCTCTCGTTGATTAACACGGCACCATCAACGCGACAAGAGGCAGCTATAGGCCCGCCCTAACCCCAAGTGGAACAAATCTAATCCCAACTTATTACCAGGATTAGGGCCAATTAGGGGTGACGTCCATTAGGACTGGGTTACATTAAGACTAGGATTTAGGGATTGGATGCTATTAGGATCAGAGCCTATTAAAATTGGGACCCAGTAGTACTAGAACCAATTTGGATTAGGATTGGTACCTATTAAGATTATAACCTATTAGGATTAAAACAAGTTATACTGATATATCACAGAATCACCTAGACACATAAAAGCTAACAGTTATATTTTTGCTCCACAAGAACTTTACATTTTAAATAAATCCTCTGAAATTTGGCATCCTTATTTCCTGCAATGTTTTCACAGGAAGCTTCTGCAATACTTTCCAGAACAATTAGCTCTGCCAACACCCACACGATCCGTAATTATTTCGTCCAGTTTACCATTTCTAGCAAAATACAGTAAATATACCTTAAAAATACTTCATTTTAATAACTTGCACTCAAAATGAAGACCAAGTCTGTTTCCAAATGTCAAAGATAAATAACACTTGTGCATGACGAAGATTAAACCACCAGCCAAACGTCGCCCACTTCCAGCACAACACAAACTTTCAAACATATTAGAATTATGTGAAATAATTTTTGTCCAAATGTTTCAAAATGTTCTTCTGAAAGTCTAATATGAGTTGGCTTCCTGGACCCAGCTATCCCCAACCCCCTATAGTTTAATGGGTCGCGCCACGGTCACCACCATCTGAATTTCGACCTTAATCACAACCAATTGTTAAGAAATTGCCAGCACACTCCTGGATCGGAGTCCATTAAAGTGAGGCCTGTCGACATTATGCAGCAAATATAACCATTAGTCATAATTAGCTACCTGCTCAGTGAGATATATTAACCTTACCTTAGAAACTATAACGTGAAGGACTTACCAGGTCAGAAGACTAAGTTGAATGGTGGGGCAGTTCAGGCAGTGATGACAGACAACTATACAATATGGAACTGTTCAGTGATACAAAGAACTTTACTTGATCTTAATTTCAAAGGTTTACGTTTAATAAATTTGGTGAATTTATAATTTCACACCGGTCTTTTTTTCACTTATCAATATATATCTCGTAATGCTTACATAATTCTAAGACATTTTTCTTCTATGATATTTCCACCGGAAATTAAGGATAACCGAGATAGTCATTTTTCAAGATTATAACTTTAGCTCAGTCACAAGACGTGTCGCCATTTGTTTGTTTACTTATGGCGGAGTCTGATTTTCCCCCAGGCCTGTCTTCTCTCTTTGAGGCGTCTAGAGCACATGTGGGGGGGGGGGGTATTTTAATTAACGACAGCAAAAGGGGTATTTTTATTGGGCAAGATTTTTTGTTTTTGTTTTAGCCAATGAACAATGAGTGGGTGGGTCTGGAGGGAAGATTTTAATTTTCAGTGGGATATGGCTGAACCAGTGGAAGAGCTGTGCAGAAATTATGAGAAAGATTTAATTATTTTGCCACAATTGCCGAGTTTCTCCAGAAAAATAGTGAGACAATTTCTTTGTTCATAAAACACGGTAATTACCGAGTATAGTACTTTGTCCTAAGTGTAATAACCAGTGTACACTGAACATAAGAACAACATATTTGGCCGTGTCCCAATAGTTTTCTTCAGCCAAAAAGTAAAAAACGGAAAAGGTGCAACTTTTCTGTTCGTGATTATTAAGGATCATTGGATTCATTTACAGATGAAGGTAAGATGTGGGGGCATGAACAACAGGGGTTAGGTTAGGTTTTCTTGGTTGGTTGGTAATATAATTTGTTATTTATTAAAAAAAATCCAACTATTTCCGTTATGATTGTTGGGTGGGGTTAGGTTAGGTTTTCTTGGTTGGTTGGTAATATAATTTGTTATTTATTAAAAAAAATCCAACTATTTCCGTTATGATTGTTGGGTGGGGTTAGGTTAGGTTAGGTTTTCTTGGTTGGTTGGTAATATAATGTTATTTATTAAAAAAAATCCAACTATTTCCGTTATGATTGTTGGGTGGGGTTAGGTTAGGTTAGGTTTTCTTGGTTGGTTGGTAATATAATTTGTTTTTTATTAAAAAAATCCAACTATTTCCGTTATGATTGTTGGGTGGGGTTAGGTTAGGTTAGGTTTTCTTGGTTGGTTGGTAATATAATTTGTTATTTATTAAAAAAAATCCAACTATTTCCGTTATGATTGTTGGGTGGGGTTTATCTATAAAACAAGTGATTTCCGGTGGAAATTAATATCAAATTCGTTCGAAATTCATCAAAATACATAGGAAAACCCTATTTTTAATATCGAAATAAAGACCGTTGTGATACCATAAATTGACCGTAAATGTTCCTTAACACTGTGTATGACTATGTGCTGCAGGTGCACTTAATGGACACGGTGTTTACCTGCACACAAGTCATCGTCAGCTGCTCAACACAATCACATTTTTATCTTTCTGGCTTATGGTCCGGCATTTACCTCACTTGCCAGTTGCACTATCACTTATAATTCCTCTTGAAAATATGGTCAGTATTTCAAAACTGTAAATCATTAACAATTACACTAAAAATGTTGCCAGGTGATCCACAGTGACACTCCCTCCCGCTCACGGCACTCAACTACCGGTGGTGTTCGTATTTACCGGCCTACCTCAGAGCGGCTAGAAATATGAACAGTTTGGACAGAAATAATGCATATTACCTTAAATAAATAATAGCGAGGTCCGAAATAACGTGGGCTGATTGATAAATTCACTTGTATAAGTCAAGTAAAACGATAATTTGAGTATAGAGCAATTCAGCTGATCTAGAATGCGATGATGGTAATTAAAAAATAACAAAAAATTTACCGAATTCAGAAGTATCTGGATCCGAAATAACATGATTCACAATACTATTATGACTTATTAATGTATTTGTCTGTCAATCTGGAGAGAAGCCATTCACCCCCTGTGAATCAAAAATTGGTAGTTCATTTTACCTTTCCTTAGCAATTTCCATACGGGAAGTAAATCAACTATCATGTTCCTTAAAAGAATGATTTTTGCATAATTTTTATTTTGTGAGTTTAGTGAGGAAAAATTCTACTGTATATGTGTCAGCACGTTGAATCATTGAGCCAGACGTATAATGTGATGTACAGTATATTAATGTATGTTTACCTAGTCTGGTTAATATGTATTATCACAATATTTACAAGAAAAATAAAAACTTAGGCGAGTGAAATTTTTTTCTTTTATTAACCATATAATGATATGAAACTGGAGGTGGCAAGTTTATTTAATATGGGGCAACTTTGGTACTAAAATTTTAAGTGTGTTCTTTTGGCTGCGGTTTTAGTTTCCAATGAAAATAAATAAATAAATAAGTAAATTTACGAATAAACAGCTGTCGATAAATATGATGGCGAGTAGTCCAAAGGCTTGGCACCATTTTCTGAGTCCCTTGTGGCGAGGGTTGAGACGCCAGCTGCCCGCGCTCAGTCAAATGAAATGTTATCTGTAATTTTCATTAGAATTAAAATATTTTATTGATAGTTTGTTTGCATTAAAATCACTGAAAATTGTCTCAAATAATTTGTTTTAATAAAATCAATGTTCTAAAATGTAAAAATTATAAACCGTCAATTGGACCTGAATGGCTGACGGAGTGTTTAGCGGCGGCCGGCGGGTAGTCACGGTGCATTAACAATCATTTTACTGGTGCTCTGTTGATGTTACCTACAGTACACCTCCCGGATTGTCCAGAGGAGATCATCCAAATGTTTCCAACAAATAGACAGTAGCACATACAAAGGCTGAACATGGACTGCCCTCACAAGCTCATTAAAGGTTAGTACAATGCGTTAACTACACACTAACACTGGGTTCAAGTTATATATTCCTGACCGTTTATTATGAATGGCGTCTCCACCCTCTGAGTAGCATAACAATGTCAACGGTGCTAATGGGTTGTTTAGGGTTACGCATTTAAAGGCTAAAATTGCTTATATCATTAAAGATTAGTACCAAGACGAGGTGTTCCTGTAGCCGTGTGTCAATAAGTGCTCCCACCTCTGAACACACGTATAATAGCTGCAGTGATCTATCGCAGACTATGGTTTAGAAGTAGATACAAGGTCAAGGTTTAGAAATAGATACAAGGTCAAGGTTTAGAAGTAGATACAAGGTCAAGGTTTAGAAGTAGATACAAGGTCAAGGTTTAGAAATAGATACAAGGTCAAGGTTTAGAAATAGATACAAGGTCAAGGTTTAGAAGTAGATACAAGGTCAAGGTTTAGAAGTAGATACAAGGTCAAGGTTTAGAAGTAGATACAAGGTCAAGGTTTAGAAATAGATACAAGGTCAAGGTTTAGAAATAGATACAAGGTCAAGGTTTAGAAGTAGATACAAGGTCAAGGTTTAGAAATAGATACAAGGTCAAGGTTTAGAAGTAGATACAAGGTCAAGGTTTAGAAGTAGATACAAGGTCAAGGTTTAGAAGTAGATACAAGGTCAAGGCTTAGAAGTAGATACAAGGTCAAGGTTTAGAAGTAGATACAAGGTCAAGGTTTAGAAATAGATACAAGGTCAAGGCTTAGAAGTAGATACAAGGTCAAGGCTTAGAAATGTTTATTGTTTGTGTTCATGTTAGCCAGCACTGCAGCGCTGCCGTGGCTAGACAACACCCGCTGAGTAATGACCCGCAGCACCTTCAGCATTAATTATAATTCCTTCAAAGACTTTATTTATCATTGTTTGTTTAAGGACGGCTGCTCATGTTCCCGATAAAGGATAATAAATTCTCAACTATACAAGAGTTTCTTTACACTTCAATACAGCTTCATGAAGTCATTTATCAGTATAACGCATGGATGAAATTTAACACTATCTTACCCTAAACAAAATTAAGTTGATTTATTAATGTTATAAATTTTTAATGACTCCCTGGAAGTGTTAGCTAGAAGTAAAAGCCTTGTGTTCAAATGGATGTTGACAAGGCGTGGTATTGAGTTGAGGTGAAACATGTAAATATTAGGTTATTATTATCGCTTTGATCATGCAGCGAATTTTAAGTTTTGGTTAGGTTAGGTTAAGTTGGGTTAGGTTAGGTTAGGTTAGGTTAAGTTGGGTTAGGTTAGGTTAAGTTGGGTTGGGTTAGTTTGGGTTGAAATTATGGTTTTCCGATTGTTTTTGATGTGTTTTGAACGGCTTCCAAATAATAGCCTGGCCGAAGCGACAATTTTACCAATATTAGACCAACAGGGGAATACATCTCATGACTACCACACGTTCTTAGAATCCCTTTTGTGTTACCAATTAAGAAAAAAACGGGTACAGCGTTCCTTTATCCTTCCTCCTATTGTCTCCCCCTCTTCTTCCCCTCCACCTCCTCTCTCTCTCCGTCTTCCTGTGTTTGTTTATCGTGTGACGTCACCTACTTTCTTTGTGTTGTGTCTTTGTTTACTTTTATCACTGTTTCTCGTCTTTTCTTGTTTATTTGTTTAACTTATTTGTTTTGTAGTTGTTTGGGCTACTGTTTTGTTTATATTGTTACTTGATAAGATTTTCTGTTAATTATTAGTTGATTTGTTTTTACATTGATACTTCTTAGAGGTTTTCTTTGTTGCTTGTGTGTATTCGCTTACTTAATTGTTTTGATATTTATTTAATCAGGTATTGAGTGATCCATTTATTGTTTATGCCTTGTTTGTTAAGTTCTGTACTGTACTTAATTACTCGTTTTTACAGGATTGGCCCACCTTGGCACAGATCAGTGACCCACAACAGGACCTGGCCTGAAAATATAATAATAATAATAATAATAATAATAATTAATAAAAAGTTAGAAAATATTAAAGAAAAATGAATACTACTAATAATAATATAGTAATAAAGGACCATAAATGAATACACAAAAAAAGATTAATAGTGAGAAACAATATTTGTATGTTGTGTTGTCAACGTAAGAGAAACAATTGACACCCTACAATTATATGTAAAGAGGCAGAAAGTCAGATCAGCAACCTGGGACTTGGTCACAATTTTCGTGATGCCATATGGCAGCAGGGTCTACCACTAGACAATACATTATGCTTCCAATATCTGTTGAATTTTTTGCTTATTTTTTATTTACTAACATTTAGTTTACTTAATACTTATTTGTCTACTTAAAATTTACTTGCCTACTTACTTACTTACCTACTTAATTGCCTACTCCTCACCTAATTACTAACTTAACTACTAATACATGTCTACTATAATTACCACATTCCTTGTTGATGATCATCCGGGGAGGAAAATTCTGTCTGGGGAGGGGAGGGGGTGGGGAGAGTTGGGAGTGGAGTCGGGAAGGTGGGAGTGTAGGAGGGAAGGTGGGGATGGGGAGAGAAGGTAGGTGTGGGGAGAGAAGTTGAGGGTGGGGAGAGAAGGTAGGGGTGGGGAGAGAAGGTCGGGGTGGGGAGAGAAGGTCGGGGTGGGGAGAGAAGTTGAGGGTGGGGGGAGAGAAGGTCGGGTGTTCGATAAATTATGCTTAGGAAAATATGTAAACGTGTACAGCGGGTGGTGCAAGAAGAGGGTATAGGTGTGTGTTGGGTCCTGAGGGGGAGAGGAGAAGGTGATGAAGGGGGAGAAGAGGAACTTGATGAAGGGGACTAGAACGAAGTGATACTGGTCCACTCAGGGTTGTTCCACCATCATCAGACTCCAGCGGTGAACTCCACTACCGGCCGGATGCTGCTCCACCCTAGGCTGTTGTAAGATCACCTCATAGTCAGGATAGTGTTGTTGTTGTTGTTGTAATACGAACCTCACGCGATCACCACGATGTAAGGCAGTGGGGAATATCATTTTCTGGGACACCCTGTAGTTTAAGAGTTTTTATTTTAAGAGAGTGAAATATTTAGTAATTGAAGTGAAACAGATTGTAGTAGATTGACAAGCCATATAAAGATAGAGTGACAGTTCAGTAGAGAGAGAGAGAGAGAGAGAGAGAGAGAGAGAGAGTAGACGTACCCTGACCCGCGCTGGTCTACCAGGTATTCCCCACAGGTGTTTGCTGATACCCGTATAGGGAAGGGTAAAGGATAAACAGTGAATGTGACGCCCGGAGACAGAGAGACAGACACAGACAGAGAGAGACACACAGACAGAGATACAGACAGAGAGAGAGATACAGAGAGAGACACAGACAGAGAGAGAGAGAGAGAGAGACAGAGAGAGAGAGACACAGAGAGAGAGAGACACAGAGAGAGATAGAGCATTATCAACAAGTCAAGTCGTCAGCATAATACTATCTACTGTAGTGTCCACACGAAACACCAAACAATATTTACCAGACTCTCAACCTTAAAACCTAACCTAACCTCACTTAAACCACCCCCTTAATCAAAGAGACATTGGTAGACTATCTCCAGTAATAGACTACCTCCATTAAGGGGGAAGAGAGATATAGGAAGGTGATGGTGAAGGTCGTGTGATGGTGAGGGTCGTATGATGGTGAGGGTCGTGTGATGGTGATGGAAGGAGGATGGAGGGGAGTTGATTATAGCTATGAGGGGTGAGGACACATCCTGTTGGTGAGGGAGAGAGGTTATGTGAGGCGAGTTTAGTGGGGTTAGGTTAGGTTAGGTTAGGTTAGGTTAGCGAGGTTAGGTTAGGTTAGCGAGGTTAGGTTAGTGTTACGTGTACCACTATACCTCTCAGATGTAACTGGTGTATAATTAGATATGTAAGGTGATACGGAGGGTTAGTTCTGGTGTTGACAGTGTTATCTCATGACGGAGAGGAGAGTTTAGATGAGGTATTGTGACAGAAAGGGCCCGCTGCCGCTTCCTCCACTCTTCTGTTCTTATGGGAGAGCGAGAGAGATACTTGGCCATGTGGTAGTGGTGAACGGAAATAAAGTCCACAGGAAAAAAGTCACATGAATTGTACACATTGACAGCCCAATATATATATGATGGCATTACACGTAGGTTAGGTTAGGTTTTTCCTGGATTCGTGGTAACTGGACCCAGAATGACGCGATGCTGACTTTCTCCACGAGGACACTACCACATCCCTTACCACACTACTGCCACTACCACATCCCCTACCACACTACTGCCACTACCACATCCCTTACCACACTACTGCCACTGCCACATCCCCTACCACACTACTGCCACTACCACACTACTGCCAATAACCACATCCCCTACCACACTACTGGCCACTACCACACTCGGCCACACTACCTCATCCATCGACAATACAATTTACAATTTGCCTCGCGAGAGGGCTAGTTTATTGGGCACCCCCTTGCACCCTGTACAAGGTGAAGGGCAAAAGAGTTTACAGCCCAACAGGAAGCATGTGTCGACCATCCAGACCTGACCTGGCTTCTGTGACTTGAGTGTAATGTGAGAACGAATAATAATTGGTTAGGTTAGGTTAGGATTAGTTTTGCTTAGCTTAGGTAGAGTTTCCTCTGTTGATCAGTATACTCTCAGCTCCAAATGATGTACTGTTTTTTTTAAGTAGTGATAGTGGTAGTAGTAGTAGTAGTGGTGATAGTGGTGGTAGTAGTAGTAGTAGTGGTGATAGTGGTGGTAGTAGTAGTAGTAGTGGTGATAGTGGTAGTAGTAGTAGCAACTAATTCAACACAGCTAGGATAGCTACTAATTTATTAGGATACTTAATATTAAGGTAATAAAATGGTGGCGAAGGTGTGGCTATTGGGGGAGGCTGGAGGCCACTTTCGTAGTAGTAGTAGTGATAGTGGTGGTAGTAATCGTAGTGATGGTAGTGATAGTGATGGTGATTGTGATAATTTTGTTTCCCGTTTTACATAACATTTAAATGACACGACGTCTAGTACACGTCCGCTGCTGTGGTGAGTGGTTGTCGGTTTTCCCTCCTGTCTGTCTTCGCATCTGTCTTTCTGTGTATGTATATCTTTATGTCTATCTATTTGTCTTTCTGTCTGTGTCTAGTCCCAGGGCTGTCACTGCTAAAGGGAAAATCTGTAATCTCATCTGTGTATGTCTGTCTGTATGTCTGTTCGAACGTTGAGTACTGAGATCCTGCCATCAGCAATTCCTCCATACATACACACACAAACTAGTTTTTATAAGGTATGACATAAATAATATACTTCGATTCTCAGGACAGTTTTACAAGAATTTCCTCACTTAACCTAGCAATGACTGAGTGACATTCTGAAATTAAGACGGCATGGTTGGCGGGGCTTAATTTTGGATAATGATATTTCCGTGTGATATAATATAAGGAAGTAATACAAATGTCCAAAGATAAATTGGTTTATTTCTTAATTATAACATCAAAAACATCACTACGGCAGTCAACATCACTCAAACGCGTAGAGCTATTATTATTATTATTATTATTGGACAGACACAGTGGGCTGTCATAAAAATGGCTTTCAAGTCACCATGTGTCTTGAGTTTCAGGGAGACGGTGGCCTTGGTAACCTAACCTAACCCTGTCACTCACCACCAGAGAGAGAGAGAGAGAGAGAGAGAGAGAGAGAGAGAGAGAGAGAGAGAGAGAGAGGATACAAATACCCAGACGAAAACATTATACTTGTTTGAATTGTAATGAGAAATATACGTCATTATTTGTAACATTTCCCAGCAGCCATTATCACGTAAACTGTTATCATTTAACTCTGGAATAATAAGAACAGTACAATTAGTAGTGCAGGTATATACGTATTGTCAACCTACTGTACAGTGCACAGGTACTGTATAGAGGTATTGTCAATTATTCATTATTATGTAAACATTTATTTGTATACATATCTGTATTTTAGAAACGTTTACGTCTTCAAACACAGGACACAGTTTCGGTTTTTTTACATCACACAAAAACACAATAAAATAAAAGCTAAGGCCCTGATTATGTTGTTGAGTGAACAAGACCTCAAAGTACGATACCCAAGTAGATACTGAAGCTTATGTAGGGGATCACCTGAAGATTATACAACCCAGCATAATTCACTGAAAATAAACCATTCTAATGCACATACTCTTCAACAGGTTCATAGTCGAGAGAACTGTCAAGATATAATGAAGGTGAAGGTGATTCTGCCTGGAGCTGTGACCCCTGGGGCGAGCATCCGCTGGCTTCAGGTATGGACACTCGACTGAGTAATGCTCTCTTAAGTGCTTATAAACTTTTATTAAGTCACCCTTAAGTTTTTTAATATACTTCTTGACAAGGTACAATAAACATGGTGATTGAAAAAATGTTCAGTATTGTGTAAATTATTTATTTATTTTTTTCATTTTGTAACATGAGATCAAATTATTATACAGTGGCATTTTATTTACAAAATGTACAAAAATACATAACTCTTGACACGTAAACAAACATGAACGGGACTTAACAGGTAGTACTTAGGAAGCCGAGTCAGCCACAGCTTCCCTCCCTGAAAGACTCCAACACGAGTCTAAGTAATGAGATTTTGAGGAATCTAATCTCACATATTGTTAACGTGATACTAAAAGATAATATTTTGATCCTATTAAGTGATATATGAATTGAAATGTATTTTGATGCTGCAGCGATGATAATTAAATAATTATAAGTAACTTTCATTCTCCACACATTTGGCCTTGACTAGTATCAATCTATAAATAATAAGCAAGTAGACTTTCTCTAGGCTTAACACTTTCACACAAGAGCTAATAACTTAACAGATGAGTTTGACCCAAGACAATGTGAATACAATAGGGTTTCACCATGCAGGGTGTGAGGAAGATATGAGTTTGTACAATAGTTTGTATGCAACACAGTACTACCTCATTCATAATACCTTTGTTTTGGTGCAAAATAGTTAACTTCAGTAACTATTGTCAACACAATGGCATTAACCTACATATCATTGTTAACATCTTGAGTGTCAACTTCTAGTGAGATTCACGTCTGTCTGCCTCAACTATACACCTTACACACACATATAAAGGAACTGTCAACAGTTTCTGAGTGGGCGCTCTGGAATGACTAATATATCTTTCATACATAATTTGTTAAATCCTAAATTGATAAAGATCCTAAGGTGTGCCGGCAGGAACTGAGAAGGCGATGTTCTTGCAGCCGGAATTCATGTTGAGGCAGAAGAGTCTCTCTAGGGAGGCGGTCTTGATAATGTTGAAGCCTTCCTCCCCGCCAAAGGTGGAGGGTTTCCAGTACCTGGGGCTGCAGATGGGGTTGGCCATGAGCCCCTTCACACTCCAGGGTCCTCCCATGTTCACCATGCTCAGGGGTGTCACTGAGGGGCCGGGGCGTTCAGCAAGTAGACCTGAGAATTAAAAAGAGACATTTAGAAACAGTTGAAGATAACCATGGAATGTTGGGTCCAGGAAAATTCAAAACAAGGAGACAAAAAGAAATTACTTATATAATACAACTATGTATAACAACGAAGGTTAAATACAAGGAGGACATGAACCAGTCAGCACTCACCGACATAATACTCCACAGCATCGATGTCCCCGTAAAATTCCTCCAGTATGGCCGCCAGTTCGGTGTCACCGGTTAAGTCCTGGAAGCTGGTGAAGGGCCTCATCTCGAACCTCTTCCTATAGGCATTGATGCCCTGGAACCTCAGCTGTCGACCATTCTCTATCACCTTCTTCAGTACTGGGTAGAGGGTGTGGGCGTGGTTCCTTGTGGTCAGCTGCAAGAGGAAGAATCATTCATTAGATAAATACAAAAAGTCTTAGTTGTTTCTCTAAACATAACTACATCAAAATGATAATATTTCCTTCGTGTTAATAATGATGCTTACTTAACGTCTAATTCTGTACTACTTATTTTGTTCGTGTTGCAACTTGTGTTTACAATTAAATAATTCTAGTTTGTTTTTGTTTCTGCAATGGTTCTCATGCTACATCTCGGTGTAACCAGACCTGAGAGCTAAACACTGACTCACTGTGGCCGCTTTAACTAGTGTGCACTATGAGAGCGTTGGCTAGACTTACCGCTCCTGCCCTGTTGGTGGCCATAGCGTGGATGAAGTTGTCGAGGCCGTGCTTGAACACCGGAGCCGTCGAGAAGGCCATGTCCATGATGGCGTATTCTGTGTCGTTCACCTGGTGGTCAACAATAAACACAATATTAATGACATTTCCTCAGTCTATGTTACCTGCCAGCCATGACTTAGTGCAGCTCCACACTAATGTCAATGGAAGCTGTCAAATATATTCCCATCTGACCATGGCTTCCACCTACTTACAATAGCTACTGTTTTCTCATCTTTCTTGATCAATAAATATCATATTTCCTCCCACCTATGACCTACAGCTCTTCACAGCCGCTCAACACACCGAAGGCTTCAACCATACTCTTTGTTTACTATTTAGGATAATGTCAAGTATTAGATTCTTAATTTCACAGCATAACTATATCATTTTTTCCAGCTGGTGACATCACAGTACCCACCTTCACAGTGTCAGGGATGAGGGGGTGCCAGTGGTACAGGTGATTGAACTCGGCGTGGATGCGGTTGTGGTACTGGAAGTTGGTGCCGTGGGTCAGCTCAGGCTCGAAGGTTAGTCTAAGCTTGTATTGACTCAGGTGCTGAACGTAGTCCTCAATAGTGATCTTGATAACCTCGCCTGCAGGGAAGGGGTTGTGTTAGAGTAGTGTGGAGAGAGAGTCTCCTTAATAACTACATTTACTGTGACTCAGAATATGACAGCAACCGATCTTTAACAAAATACATTTCATTAAGTCCCGAGAAGATTGCAAACAAACTCGACCAATGGTGAGGGAGGAACAGAGGGAGAGACTCACCGGTTATAATGAGGCGAGCAGTCTGGTAGAGGCGCTCATCGTCCCAGTCAGTGTGAATCTTCTGCAGCTCGTCACAGACGCGGTTGTGTTCACGGACCCAGATGGTGGCATAAGCCTGTAGGACAAAACAACACCGGTGAACATGAGAACCTTCAAGAACAGAGCTTGAGGGTGTGGGTAAATGGCCAGTGATGAATATTTTGGGAAACTCTGTCATTGGCCATCTGCCAAAATGTGAGAACTCATAGAGATCAAGGCGTCCAATATGTAAGAAAAGGCGCCAGTTTGTTATTTAGTCCAATACAAAGTGTTTATAACGTAATATATTACAGTCAATTATGTTTACGTTCATTAACTTGTTATATTTACTACTAAACAGAGTTCAGCATTGGTCTGTATTAAGACAAACATCAGTAACAGTACTTACGAAGAGTCCTGGGAGGAGAGCGAAGAAGGGATGACCGAGGGCAAACTTGGAGTGTTCAGGGATGGGAATATGGGGTGGGTAGTCCATGGTGATCGCTGGCACGTCCTTCAGGTAGGGCGGGAACTCCTCACCGTTGATCAACTGAAGCACAAATACAACAACCTTGTTAGTGGCAAGTTCATACATAGATACAGTACTTCAGACAAGATTATTTATTAGTCTTCTTCTCTTATTGATAAATGATTCTTACTTCTTTAATGGACACCCTTACTGTGAGCATAAATTGTGTCCACATTTATCAGAAAGCTCGTGACTTAACCTAACACGAAGGACATCAGCTGTACCAACCTGAGTGCGCAGTTTGCCATTGACGCCGGACCTGAGAGCTTGGCGGTCCTGTTCCGTCAGACCGTAGATGTTGGACACGTCCACCTGAACAAAACAAAACAAGCTGCTCTAGAATTCTGTAGTCTGCAACTTATACTGACATGATGCACCTTAAATAATTCTGTTGTTTTAAAAAACAGCCATGTCTAGTGAACTGTATTTTACAACACATGATGGAAATGAAGAGTTTTAAGTCATCAAAGTTTCCCATAAAAAATTTAGTGATTATAATACTTACACCATCAGTTCCCTTGGTGATGTGAGGGCCCTTCTTGTAGTCTGTCCTGAAGAACTGGTGGGTGAAGTGCTGAGCATAGTACTGGAACAGGAGGTTAGAGTTATGTGGCTCAGGCAGGAACTTACTCCTCAGGAACACCTTCTTGATCAACATGTCCACGTCAGGGTAATCCTTGTGTCCTGTAAAGATATTGGTCTAGATAAATAATTCAGCCCCATGTAAAGCTCCACCTTATCTTGTAGTGAACTCCATCACATTGCAATTATTTTGTAATACATTTTATGGATTTAGTAAGACGTTGAGCATTCGTGTTCTCACCCTTGACGCCAAATGGAGTGGGGCAGTGCTCGGGGACAGGAGGGAGGGCTCGGCCATAGTAGCTGGTGTTGAAGTAGGCGTTGAGGGTGATGTAGGTGTGGTCGCTCTCGTAGGTCGGGGGCGAGTCTACCAAGTCTCCTCGAGCTGCAGGAGACACACACCAATTAACACCCACGTCACCCAGCACAAACCCTCGGTGGACTTATAAACACCCTCAAAGAGAAATCAATACAGTATATCCAAGTTAGGTTGTGTGATCACAGACTTATGTCACACAAGTACTGTACTGGGGTGTCTGCAAATGCTTATAATCAGGAAGGGAGGATTCACAAAACATCATGGGGAAGCAACTTACATGTGTAGACGTAGGTCATGAGGCGCTTGTGGATGAAGGAGATCCTGTTGAGGACGGCCCACAGGAGACTGTTGGAAGTGATGAGGTTATGGATGGTCTCCGGGTCGGGCTTCAACGTCTTCTTCAGCCAACCTCTCCACGTCGCTGTTGGGGGCAAGATAGTGTTACACTCTAGTCTTGGTCTAAACTTTTACACAAGCAGCGGTACGAGAGATACATTCACTTTCTTGGTGCATGTTTTGTTCTCACTACTTTTCAGTAATATTTGTACAATGTTGAATGACCTTCAGGGGGATATCTTATGCACATGGAGAGGTACAGTAAGTGCACTAAGATTAACAGTAATTTACCGAGTGTGACTTACGTATCTCGCAGTGTTCTCCGTAGTGATCGGTGCCGGTACAGTCGCAGGTGTAGTTGTTGGAGGGGAAGGAGAGACACACGCCCAGGTTGAGGCACGGGTACGCACAACACGGGTCGTAGTCTGTCAGAACACATCATGTCACATACACTATACTGACACAACTAACTATTTAGTATATCTCCGTCCTAATGATCGTTACGTCTATATATTTTTTAAGTGTAATTTTGTCTTCTACAATATGAGTTGGTTAATACTTATCACAATGAATGTTTTGTTCAAGCAATAGTCAGTGGGTAAAATGTAAAATCTCTAGTTGGAGGAAAATATCTATTTACAAACTAACTGGTGTTGGGGTGATGCCAGGAGGCGTCAACACTGTGTGATACTCACCGAGGGGTGCGGGGGAGGGCGGGGCAGCTGGAGCCTCTTGTGCTGGGCCACGCATGAACAAGAAGGACGCTGCCAACACCACACCAGCCACACCGAACAACACACGCCCACCTCCTGCAATAGGGAGAAACAAGAAGAGTCAAACATGGGGACTAAATAGACACATTACATGATCCTTCAGTAAACAGTTCTCACTGAACGATTATTTTTTTTTCACAAAGAACATCAATAAAATTATTTTGGAAAAAGAGAATATTATCTCCCCTCCCCAGTGTCATAGTTTTCTCTCCGGGATGAAGGAGCAAAAGTACCTCAGGTAGATTCAGAATGTGAGGAAATTGCCAACAAAACATAAGAAGTTAAGGAAATGAGTGTTTAGAGGGTTGAGGATCTGTTGCATCCATTCAGCTGGGATGACAACAAGATTGAGGCTGAGAATTGCTGGAGGGAAGAGAGATGGCCCTCACCCTGACACAGACATAGTTGGCAGCCGGATACGTGATCCATATGCTTGTACCACCATCTGGCGGACCCTGGTGCCAGCTGCCTGTGGGTGTCGTGTGTGTTTACATCATCACCATGTGTGTTTATACTTAGCTTCACATGTGCTCCCTGACGAAGCCTCCCGAGTGAGACTGTAGAGACAACTTATAAAGCTGCGTCTCATCACTTGTAGGGGAACACACTGCATCATGATGTCATCAACTTTAAATCACGGTCGATTACTAACTAGTATAAACCCACCCCTCGTGCATCTAAATTATTTCTACGAAACATTTGCGATGCATCAAGGCAGCACCCTCCCTCACCCCTGCCCCTTTCGGCCCTTGATTCCCACCAGCCACCGGAGACCAGCTGATCATGGCCTTCAACCTTCAGATGATATTTTTGTTTTGTTTTTCAGCTGTGCCTTAACAGTAAAGAGCAACTTTCAGTATACTCCAGTGTGTGTGTGTGTGTGTGACGAGTCTGTTGGGTAACTGTGGTTGTGTGTCAGAATATATTGTACAGTTTAGGCCGGTGTACACCAAGGCCGTGACAGGGAGGGGATAGATTCTCATCCTACACATCCGTTTTATAGATGGAAATACCAGGTACCTCGGTTAACGAAGTTGAAGGTCGCTGGTAAGGGAGTGGTGGAGGACAGGGGCGACTATTTTTGTAAACTTGACGTTTTCAGTTTAGAATAATGAACTGTTTCTCTCTCTTTGTTCCCAGAGTGTGATATTAGATGGTTTAAGCGTTAATTGTAAATAGAGTAGAGTTTTTGTAGCCTCGTGTGTGTGTGTGTGTGAGAGAGAGAGGAGAATTGAAGGGTGACAGTGTTTGTTAGGGTGGAGGGGCAGGTAACAGTGTGGTGAAGGTGCTGCATCACGCCAGCCTACGTGATCCTGCAAAACGTGTACCTGCGCTGTTTACCTTGGAGACACCACCAGTCACTAGGCGGCCCTGGTGGTGGGGAGATCCCGGTCCCGCCACATCTTTCACACTACCTCACCCCCCCACTACACTAATATCACCTCGTCCCCAACCAACACATGGACGTATTTACTAATGTTTATAAATCTTGTAAACAAAAGTGGCAGCAGTGTGCGCTTCCCCGGGGCCAGCACAGCCAAGATGTGTGCGTCTTACTTTATTTATTATCTCTTTAAACCAAGTGACAATGAGGGGCCACAGAGGAGAGATTAGTGTGCGAGTATCTAAATAAATGATGTGAAAAACTTGAGAACATAAGAAAAACAAGGTAGAAGGGAAGAGAGCCAATATTATTTTCTTATATCACGACATGGTACCTGGTGAGGGTTTTCCAGCATCCATGACCCATCCTCTCACAGCCTCCCTCCCGTGTCTCCCGAGGCCGTCTCCTAATTAACTGAGTTGTCTTCAAATGACACTAATGAACATGGCCTATTCTATTATCTCTTCTTGCGTATGAACCTTTGTCTGTGTGGCAGTGATCAATAACACCACTAAAGGCAACTCTCAGCATCTTATCTTATCTGCTTCTGGGTGTCTCTACAAAGGTTCACGTGACTCAAGGCAAGTCCCCACCGTGGTATTAACAGAGAATGGAATAATTTACATTACATTATATAGTGTTGTAGTTCCTATAACCTGAATCACAGTTGGGTTTAAGGACAGCTCATGGATGTTTGTGATACAGGAATGCCGTGTAGTGAGGAGGCTGCTGCTTGTGTGAGAGACAGGGAGGGCGCTGAGGGTGAGCATTAGGCTTATGTGTGAGGGGTGTCTAGTGATGTTTGGGGAGCCTGACTGTGAGGTGGTGGGAGGGAGGGATACAGGGTTAAGCTTCTAATAGACGGACAGGTAAGTAGGATTGTGTTGGGGGGGGGGGGAGAACGTCTGGCATTTCTCAAGTATCGCTTTCTCTTCCTAAAACAGAGAGAGAGATCAATGACACATGCAGACCAAACAGTCGCTTCGTGTCATTAACCCTCAGATAACACGTGTACTCACCCTTGTCTTCTTGCTGTTGCTCTGTGTCCATGTTCTTAACCATCGGTGACGAGTTAAAATATATCCCTGTTCTCAAACGTAGTTCTTTATGGTATGTCTATTATTCTTTTTGTTTTCACTGTTGGTCCTTCGTCGTCAATTGTGCTTTGATTTGTTTCTCTCTCTCTCTCAACGTGGGAGTATAGCCAGGCACCACGACACAACCGTTGTTCACTCGTGTCGATGGGGGATCTCCAACTGTGACTCCCAACACCGCGCC